ATCCTGAATCTTTTTCTGACGGCCCTAAGGCCCGGCAAGGGCCCCCAAAGGCCGAAACTAGTCCGAAACCTCCTGTCGCGATTTTTTCACAACGCGAGGGGGTCTACGCCTGTGTGTGTCCGTGCCGATCTATTTTCCCCTCCTGGACGTAGACGCTCTGGCGTCCCAGCGCAGGGGGGCCTGGGGCTTCTGCCCCAGGAAGCCGAGTGAGCACACGTGGCTAAACTCCGCCGTGGAGCCTCCAGACAACCCACGCGCTGGATAGATTTAGGTCGGGCGTGTCCCCCTACAGTCGGATTTTGAATGAAAAATAAGAAACACTCAAAAAATATTCAAGTAATATTCAAAAATACCGCAAAAATAATCCCACGACCGTTTTTTTACTATTTTGAATTTTCCCCCTGTAGAGGGACAGGCTCGACTTAAGGATAGATCCGCAGGCCAGGAGGGCACGGCCACAGACGGTCAGAGGCCAGGAAAGCCATCTTTGGATGCTCATCCTGGGGACGTTCCTGGATACACTCGCTCCACTCGTGTGTCGAAACTGCGTCGACCGTCAGTGGATGCGAGTCGACCCTGAGTCGAGCCTGGGTCGGACTTGAGTCGAACTTGAGTCGAAGTCGAGTCGAACTGGAGTCGAACTCGAGTCGATCAGATCCGTCAGGTGGGTCCCAGGAAGGTCCCCAAAACGAGCACCTAGCCATCTGAGTGACGAAGACGGGCCCTGCGCGAGATGCCACCGCGACCTCACGCAGCGGCTTGCGCGGGCCGCCAAGCACGGCACGCCGTACCGACGGAAGCGCGGGCAGCGGACGCGCCAGTGCCGGCGCAGTCGACCCCGCGCGCTTCCGCCGCTCATCTGGCCACCCGCGTGTCTGTGTCCAGCTCGGGGAGCGACCTGTCCCCCCTGAGCCGCTCGCTCCGTCCGCCCCTCTTTCGGCCGCGCCCTTCCCCGCTCCTCCTCTGGCATGGTGGCACAATTCGCTCCAACGGCATCCCCGTTTAGGCATCCATCGCGCCAGTGCAGGAGTCCCCTGCAAAGCCGCCGACGCCAAAATGTCTGTGTCCAGCTCCGGCCAGGGGCGGCCGCGCCGTGTGCATCCAGCCAGCCTGCTGGTAAGTCGCCGGGATCCCTGGCCGGCCGGACGGCCCGGCGCGGTGGCTCCGAGCCTCCCTCCCTGGCTGCGCGCTGGGATTAGTTCGGGCATGTCCTCCTGCAGGCGCAGATTTTGGATTATCCCGGCAAAGCAACCTAACAGCGATGTGTGTAAGCAAATCTGGAAGCATTCCCCATAAGATTCGGGTGAGAATCCGGTTGTAGAATTCTGCTGTTCTCGCAGTTGCAGTCGCATTCGCAATGTCAGTCGCAGTGGCAACGGCCTTGGGATCCAATGGAATCCTAAGGATTCCTAGGGATTCCTAAGGCATCCTTAGGCATCCTTAGGAATCCATTGGAATCCTTAGGAAACCTTAGAAATCCTTAGGAATCCTGATTCCTAGGGATTCCTAAGGATTCCTAGCGAATCCTAAGGATTCCTAAGGATTCCTGAGGATGCTTAACTATGCCTACGGATTCCTAAGGATGCCTACGGATTCCTAAGGATTCCTAGGGATTCCTAAGGATTCCTATGGATTCCTACGGATGCCTCAGCCTGCCCCAGTTTCAGCCTCAGCCTCAGCCTGCCTCGCCTTGCCTCAGCCTCAGCCTCAGCCTGCCTCGGCCTCAGCCTCAGCCTGCCTCGGCCTCAGCCTCAGCCTGCCTCGGCCACAGCCTGCGTCAGCCTCAGCCTCAGCCTGCTTCAGCCTCAGCCTGCCTCAGCCTCAGCCTGAGCCTCAGCCTAAGCCTGCCTCGGCTTGCCTCAGCCTCAGCCTCAGCCTGCCTCGGCCTCAGCCTGCCTCCGCCTCCCCTCCTTCCCCCCCCCCCTTCCCCCCACCCCCCCATTCAGCCTCACCTTGTCTCAGCTTCGGCCTGCCTCGGCCTCATCCTCAGCCTCAGCCTCAGTCTCAGCCTCAGCCTGTCTCGGCCTGAGCCTGCCTCGGCCTCAGCCTCAGCCTGCCTCTGCCTCAGCCTGCCTCAGTCTCAGCCTCAGCCTGTCTCAGCCTCAGTCTGCCTCAGCATGAGCCTCAGCCTCAGCCTCAGCCTGCCTCGGCTTGCCTCGGCCTCAGCCTCAGCCTGCCTCGGCCTCAGCCTCAGCCTCAGCCTGCCTCAGCCTGCCTCAGCCTCAGCCTCAGCCTGCCTCAGCCTCAGCCTGCATCAGCCTCAGCCTCAGCCTGCCTCAGCCGCAGCTGGCCTCAGCCTCAGCCACAGCCTCAGCCTCAGCCTCAGCCTGCCTCAGCTTCAGCCTGCGTCAGCCTCAGCCTCAGCCTGCCTCAGCCTCAGCCTGCCTCAGCCTCAGCCTCAGCCTGCCTCGGCGTGCCTCAGCCTCAGCCTCAGCCTGCCTCGGCCTCAGCCTGCCTCGGCCTCAGCTTGCCTCAGCTCGGGCGTTCAAAATATGGCACAGGACTGATGTTCTGGGAACACGAAGATCACGAAGTGGCCCACAGTTGGCTCCGGGCAATCAGAATATGGTGCAGGAATGGTGTTCTGGGAAGACGAAGATCACGAAGTGGCCTACAGTTGGCTCCGGGCATTCAAAATGTGGCCTGGGAATAGTGTTCTGGGACGACAAAGGACACGAAGTGGCCTATAGTTGGCACCGGGCATTCAAAATGTGGCATGGGAATGGTGTTCTGGGAACAGAATCTGTAGGAATCCATAGGAAACTATAGGAATCTATAGGAGTCCTGGGGAGTCCCCAGGTTCCCCAGCTTCTCCCGGCACCCGCCCAGACCCCCCTGGGGAGTCAAAATGCTCTCTTTTGAGCCCACTAGAAACCTATCAGTCTTCGATGTTAGGTGACATTATCCCGGCAAAGCAACCCAACAGCGATGTGTAGGAGCATATCTGGAAGCATTCCCCTTAAGATTCAGATGAGAATCCAATTGTAGAATTCTGCTGTTCTCGCAGTCGTACTCGCATTCGCGATGACAGTCGCAGTGGCAACGGCAGTCGCAGTCACAGCCTCAGCCTCAGCCTGCATCAGCCTCAGCCTCAGCCTGCCTCAGCCTCAGCCTGCCTCAGCCTCAGCCTCAGCCTGCTTCAGCCTCAGCCTCAGTCTGCCTTCAGCCTCGGCCTCAGCCTCAGCCTGCCTCAGCCTCAGCCTGCATCAGCCTCAGCCTCAGCCTCAGCCTGCCTCAGCATCAGCCTGCCTCAGCCTCAGCCTCAGCCTGCCTCAGCCTCAGCCTCAGCCTGCTTCAGCCTCAGCCTCAGTCTGCCTTCAGCCTCGGCCTCAGCCTCAGCCTGCCTCAGCCTCAGCCTGCATCAGCCTCAGCCTCAGCCTCAGCCTGCCTCAGCATCAGCCTGCCTCATCAGCCTCAGCCTCAGCCTGCCTCAGCCTCAGCCTCAGCCTGCTTCAGCCTCAGCCTCAGTCTGCCTGCAGCCTCGGCCTCAGCCTCAGCCTGCCTCAGCCTCAGCCTCAGCCTCAGCCTGCAGCCTGCAGCCTCAGCCTCAGCCTGCCTCAGCATCAGCCTGCCTCAGCCTCAGCCTCAGCCTCAGCCTCAGCCTCAGCCTCAGCCTGCTTCAGCCTGCCTCAGCCTCAGCCTCCTCAGCCTCAGCCTCAGCATCAGTCTGCCTCAGCCTCAGCCTCAGCCTGCATCAGCCTCAGCCTCAGCCCAGCCTGCCTCAGCATCAGCCTGCAGCCTCAGCCTGCCTCAGCCTCAGCCTGCAGCCTCAGCTCAGTCTGCCTTCAGCCTCGGCCTCAGCCTCAGCCTGCCTCAGCCTCAGCCTCAGCCTCAGCCTCAGCAGCCTCAGCCTCAGCCTCAGCCTGGCCTCAGCCTCAGCCTGCCTCAGCCTCAGCCTCAGCCTGCCTCAGCCTCAGCCTGCAGCCTCAGCCTGCTTCAGCCTGCCTCAGCCTCAGCCTCTGCCTCAGCCTCAGCCTCAGGCCTCAGCCTCAGCCTGCCTCAGCCTCAGCCTGCCTCAGCCTCAGCCTCATCAGCCTGCCTCAGCCTCAGCCTCAGGCGCGCTGCCTCTCAGCCTCAGCCTCAGCCTCAGCCTCAGCCTCAGCCTGCCTCAGCCTCAGCCTCAGCATGCCTCAGCCTCAGCCTGCATCAGCCTCAGCCTCAGCATGCCTCAGCCTCAGCCTCAGCCTCAGCCTTCAGCCTCAGCCTCAGGCCTGCATCAGCCTCAGCCTCAGCCTCCTCAGCCGCATCAGCCTTGCCTCAGCCTCAGCCTGCCTCAGCCTCAGCCTCAGCCTGCCTCAGCCTCAGCCTCAGCCTCAGCCTGCAGCCTCAGCCTGCCTCAGCCTCAGCCTCAGCCTCAGCCTCAGCCTCAGTCTTCATTCAAATCTCAGGCCCGGGCAATCAGCCTCAGCAGTGTGGCCCGGGAATGGAGTTCTGGAACTCGAAGAACACGAAGTGGCCTACAGGTGGCTCCGGGCATTCAAAATCATGCCCAGGAATGGAGTTCTGGGAACTCGAAGACCACGAAATGGCCCACAGTTTGCTCCGGGCATTCAAAATCATGCCCAGGAATGGAGTCCTGGGAACTCGAAGAACACGAAGTGGCCTACGGTTGGCTCCGGGCATTCAAAATCATGCCCAGGAATGGAATTCTGGGAACTCGAAGACCACGAAGTGCGTTACTGTTGGCTAAAAAAAGCCCCCGGCACCCGTCCAGATCCCGCCCAGACCCCCCTGGGGCGTCAAGATGCTCTCTCTTTTGACACCACTAGAAACCTATCAGTCTTCGCTGTTAGGCAAAGAAATTGCAAAGATCCCCCAAAAAAAATATAAAGTACCCGGAAATTGACGAAACATCGTCCCCAGATACTATTTACTGCATTTTTGGGGATGCTCGTCCTGCAGAGGGACCGGCCCGACTTCACGCCGGGACCACGCGAGGGCCCGAGACCTCTGGCCGCACGCTGCACCGTCCGGCCCGGCCGCCGTTCCCGCCCCGCGGCCTCGGCGGCCGAGTGGCAGAACATGACGGTGAAGATGAGCAGCGCCTGCCGGGAGGGAGGAGCCGAACCCTATGCACCGAGGCTTTTTCTGGCCGTGTATACGGGGTGTGGGTGTATACATTTTCGTTCTTGCCACGGGAAGGCGGGGAAACAAGTATACACCACACCACCCCGACGTCGTCGCCGACCCTCAACATGTCTTGGGATTGCAAAACAGCCCGCCACTGGCAATGTAAACGCTCCAGTTTCCGAAGAAGGATCGCCCCCAAGAACCAAAAGGGAGCTACAGGATGGCCCAAGGAGTCGGGATCGAGGAGTGGAGGGCCCCAAGAGGGCCCGAGATGTATCCCCACGATGCCTCTCAAGATAGCCCCGAGAGGGTCCCGGACAGGCCCAGTGGGCCCCCCAGAGGCTGAGTCTCTCCAGCATTCACATAGTGTTCTGGAAAGACTTGGGCGTAGCCGTTGTTTCGGGCTGTCCGACCGCGAAGCGCGAAGCGCGAATAATCTGGCGCTCTCGCGCCGACCACCCCCCCATGGGGGGGAAAGGAGGAGGATGGGAAAGGAGGGGGGGGGGCGGCGGGCGAGACCGCGAGCCACGCAGCGCTCCAAGAGTGCGGCGCGCCCTCGCGCCAATCCCCCCCCCCCGAGGGCAGAAGGGGAGGATTGGGAACGAGGAGGAGGAGGACGAGGAGGAGGAGAAGGAGGAGGAGGAGGAGGAGGAGGAAGAGGAGGAGGGGAGGAGGGGGAGGGGGAGGGGGAGAAGGAGGAGGAGGAGGAGGAGAAGGAGGAGGAGGAGGAGGAGGAGGAAGAGGAGGAGGAGGAGGATCGTAGTGTAGCGCTGATGCCCTTGAGGGTAGGCATGACCCTGTCAGTCGGATGGGGCACATGGGCTCTCCCATCCTGAAGCGGTGCTCGTGAAGGTTGGGGTGGCAACCCTTGTGGTCCCAGAGCCTGTGCGGGGACCGTTGAAGGCACCGTGTAATGGTAGACGGTACGTGTGGTCGACATGCCCGAGACAGCCACCTCTCTTCGACGCATGCGGTTAAGCGGTGGGGGCCTCGCGACAGGTGACGTCGCCGCCTATCATGCAAGTGATGAGGCGTGAAGCATGCACATCGCCTGGTCGGAGGATGAGCTGGCACCCCACAGAATAGCGTCAGACGCTGACTCCCTAGCCATGTAGGGAGGTCCTGTGGAAGCTCACCGGGTGCTACAAGGTCAGGGCGACTTGCTACCCCTAGCCAGTGCACTGGTGAGCTGTCCAGCTAAGCATTGTAATGAGGATGCCTGAGGGGGGGCACGATTTGTCCGCCCCACCAGGCGCAACAGCTAGAACCAGAGCGTGCGGCAGCGGGCGAAAGACAGAGTCCGAGTCGCTCTTTGCTGCCACGAGGTCGAAGCAACCGCAGGACACCGGTGAGCCGGTGTTCTGAAAGTGCCCCAGAGGGGGCACGAATTGACCGCCCCGCGGGGCGCAGCCGCCGTGCACCGGTGAGCTGTCCAGCTAACCGGTGTCCTGCGCGTGCCCTGGAGGGGCACGATTTGTTCGCCCCACGGGGCGCTGCCGCAGTGCACCGGTGAGCTGTCCAGCTAACCAGTGTTCTGAAGGTGGCTGAGTGGGGGGCACGATTTGTCCTCCTCATCGGCCTCATCAATCTAGGGCCAGAACGTGCGGCAGCGGGTGATTGCGGATATGCCGGCACGCCCCAACCTTGCGATCTCGGCTGGGCCGTCACGCCCAATCGAAGCAGATGTTCCCGAACCTGCCAGAAAATGCGCGATACCGAATGTTGTCACTGAGGGTGCCTGGGGGGGCCCTTGACGCTCCTCGTGAAGAGCACGACCGATCAAAATAACCATAACGATCAGCTGACTGCGCAAGCACCGCCGGAGAGTACGGCCTGACGAGGCCTAGGAGGACCCGCCGGGGGTTTTGGCCTGACGTGGCCTCGAAAATACCGCCGGGGAATTTGGCCTGACGTGCCCTGGCAAAGGAACCATGGATGGCATGGTATACCCAAGCCCAGCTCCGCCGTGCCTAGGGGTTCAGAGCATGCGGAGGGATGAGGTTGGGGAGCCCATCCTCGTCATCCTCACTCCTGGGCGCGGTTATCTTCATTGGGCACCGCTCTGGTGCCTCAGACCGCAATGGGAAGGAATGCGCCACAGAGCCGCCAGCCACAATGTATCCCGTCTGGATACGTCTGCTTACTCCCGCTCGCGACTGACGCGCCTCAGCGCGCTGGACGCACGAAACGTGTGAGAATCCTCCACATCCTCCCAGGGCGATACGGGGAGGCAGGAGGAGAGAGGAGAAGTTATAGAGGTTAAGGCGAGCGTGGCACGTGCAAGAGCGGGCCGCGAGGCCCGCGCAGCACGAGAGGGTGTTATCGCCGTAGCGGTCTGGCGTCTAGGGGCTCCCCTTGCCAGCCCGTGGCGTGAGCCTGACTAATGCAGTCAAGCCTGCGCGCCGCGCAACAGCCTGCGAGGCGACGGCGCCGGGGCGCGCCCGCGCTGGAGCGGAGGCCTCGGCCCGACGCTGCTGGCTCGGTCTGGCCATTGCGCCACGAAGCTCCAGCTCGCCGTGAGACCGTATGACGTTTCTCTCGCGGACGCTGCATCCCCCCCCCCGCGCGGCAGCGCGAACGCTGTGGACCATAATCTGTGGATGCACGAATGCTAGCCCGGACGCTGGCCAGCGTCTACGAGGAGACAAACCACAGGACTGCCGGCCATGCCGCCGGGCTATGTCCTTGAGGCGAGTGCCTCGCAACGTGCGTGCATAATCTGTGAATGCACGAAAGCTGGCCTGGACGCTGGCCAGCGTCTAACAGGAGACAAGCCAAGTTAGCCGGACAGAATGAGATTATGCAGGACTGCCGGCCTTGCCGCCAGACTGTGTCCTTGAGGCAAATGCCTCGCGACATGCTTGCATAATCTGTGGATGCACGCAAGCTGAAACTGAAGCTGGTCAACCTCTGATAGGAGATAACCATGGTAGCAGAGTGCGACTGCGCAGGACTGCCAGCCTTGCCGCCGGGCTGCGTCCTCGAGGCGAATGCCTCGCGACGTGTGTTCATAATCTCTGGACGCACGAAAGCTGGCCCTGACGCTGGCCATCGTCGAAAAGAAAACAAACCATGGTAGCCGCAAAGAGAGAGAGAGAGAGAGAGAGAGAGACTGTGCAAGACTGCCGGCCTTGCCGCCGGGCTGTGTCCTTGAGGCCACTGCCGCGCGACATACTTGCATTATCTGCGATTGCACAAAAACTGGCAATGACGTTGATAAGAGACAGGCCATGCAAGCCGGACAACATGGGATTATGCAGGACTGCCAGCGATGCCGCCGGGCTGTGTCCTTGAGGCAAACGCCTCGCGACATGCTTGCACAATCTGTGGATGCACGTAAGCTGAAACTAAAACAGCTGGCGTCCGATAGGAGATAACAATGGCAGCAGAGTGCAAGAGTGCAGGACTGCCCGCGTTGCCTCCGGGCTGTGTCCTTGAGGCGAATGCCTCGCGACGTGCGTTCATAATATGTGGACGCACGAAAGCTGGCCCTGACGCTGGCCATCGACGAAAAGGAGACAAGCCATGGTAGCCACAAAGAGTGAGACTGTGCAGGACTGCCGGCCTTGCCGCCGGGCTGTGTCCACGAGGCGAATGCCTCGCGACATGCGTGCATTATCTGCGATGGCACGGAAACTGGCAATGACGTTAATAGGAGACAACCATGGTAGCCGGACAGAATGATGTTGTGCAAGACTGTCGGCCTTGTTCCTTGAAGCGAGTGCCTCGTGACATGTGTGCATCATCCACGGTGCACGACAGCTGGCACGGCCGTTGGCCAGCAGCTAAAAGGTGGCAAACCATGGTAAGCGGAGGTAGTTTGATTGTGCAGGACCGCCAGCTTAGGAGGAGGAGGAGGAGGAGGAGGAGAAGGCGGAGGCGGAGGAGGAGGAAGAGGAGGAGGAGGAGGAGGAGCAGGCCGCGAGCCTCGAAGCGCGAATCACTCCGCGCCCTCGCGGGCGCGCGCGGAGAAGCCATGTGCCGCGCGACGCCTGCATGTCGCGGGGAGAGCCCCGCTCGCGCACGCGGCACACGACGACCGTGCTCGGCTGCTGCCAGAGGCGACCCTGGCTCTAGGTCGGGCCTGCCCTCCTACAGGGGGATTTTGGACGAATAATTAAAAGTATCCCGGCAAAGCAACCTAACAGCGATGTGTAGGAGCATATCTGGAAGCATTCCCCTTAAGATTCAGGTGAGAATCCAGTTGTAGAATTCTGCTGTTCTCGCAGTCGTAGTCGCATTCGCGATGACAGTCGCAGTGGCAACGGCAGTCGCAGTCACAGCCTCAGCCTCCTCAGCCTCAGCCTCAGCCTGCCTCAGCCTCAGCCTGCCTCAGCCTCAGCCTCAGCCTGCTTCAGCCTCAGCCTCAGTCTGCCTTCAGCCTCGGCCTCAGCCTCAGCCTGCCTCAGCCTCAGCCTGCATCAGCCTCAGCCTCAGCCTCAGCCTGCCTCAGCATCAGCCTGCCTCAGCCTCAGCCTCAGCCTGCCTCAGCCTCAGCCTCAGCCTGCTTCAGCCTCAGCATCAGTCTGCCTTCAGCCTCGGCCTCAGCCTCAGGCTGCCTCAGCCTCACCCTGCATCAGCCTCAGCCTCAGCCTCAGCCTGCCTCAGCATCAGCCTGCCTCAGCCTCAGCCTCAGCCTGCCTCAGCCTCAGCCTCAGCATGCTTCAGCCTCAGCATCAGTCTGCCTTCAGCCTCGGCCTCAGCCTCAGCCTGCCTCAGCCTCAGCCTCAGCCTCAGCCTGCCTCAGCCTCAGCCTGCCTCAGCCTCAGCCTCAGCCTGCTTCAGCCTCAGCCTCAGTCTGCCTTCAACCTCGGCCTCCGCCTCAGCCTGCCTCAGCCTCAGCCTGCATTAGCCTCAGCCTCAGCCTCAGCCTGCCTCAGCCTCAGCCTGCCTCAGCCTCAGCCTGCCTCAGCCTCAGCCTCAGCCTGCCTCAGCCTCAGCCTCAGCCTGCTTCAGCCTCAGCCTCAGTCTGCCTTCAGCCTCGGCCTCAACCTCAGCCTGCCTCAGCCTCAGCCTGCATCAGCCTCAGCCTCAGCCTCAGCCTGCCTCAGCCTCAGCCTGCCTCAGCCTCAGCCTCAGCCTGCCTCAGCCTCAGCCTCAGCCTCAGCCTGCTTCAGCCTCAGCCTCAGTCTGCCTTCAGCCTCGGCCTCAGCCTCAGCCTGCCTCAGCCTCAGCCTGCATCAGCCTCAGCCTCAGCCTCAGCCTGCCTCAGCATCAGCCTGCCTCAGACTCAGCCTGCCTCTGCCTCAGCCTCAGCCTGCTTCAGCCTCAGCCTCAGTCTGCCTTCAGCCTCGGCCTCAGCCTCAGCCTGCCTCAGCCTCAGCCTGCATCAGCCTCAGCCTCTGCCTCAGCCTGCCTCAGCATCAGCCAGCCTCAGCCTCAGCCTCAGCCTCAGCCTGCCTCAGCCTCAGCCTCAGCCTGCTTCAGCCTCAGCCTCAGTCTCCCTTCAGCCTCGGCCTCAGCCTCAGCCTGCCTCAGCCTCAGCCTGCATCAGCCTCAGCCTCAGCCTCAGCCTGCCTCAGCATCAGCCTGCCTCAGCCTCAGCCTCAGCCTGCCTCAGCCTCAGCCTCAGCCTGCTTCAGCCTCAACCTCAGTCTGCCTTCAGCCTCGGCCTCATTCTCAGCGTGCCTCAGCCTCAGCCTGCATCAGCCTCAGCCTCAGCCTCAGCCTGCCTCAGCCTCAGCCTGCCTCAGCCTCAGCCTCAGCCTGCCTCAGCCTCAGCCTCAGCCTGCTTCAGCCTCAGCCTCCGTTTGCCTTCAGCCTCGGCCTGCCTCAGCCTGCCTCAGCCTCAGCCTCAGCCGCAGCCTGCTCAGCATTCAAAAATGTGGCCCACAAGGAGTTTGGGAACTCGAAGACTACGAAGTGGCCTACAGTTGGCTCCGGGTATTCAAAATCATGCCCAGGAATTGAGTTCTGGAACTCGAAGACCACGAAGTGGCCTACAGTTGGCTCCGGGCATTCAAAATCATGCCCAGGAATGGAGTTCTGGGAACTCGAAGACCACGAAGTGGCCTACAGTTGGCTCCGGGCATTCAAATCATGCCCAGGAATGGAGTTCTGGGAACTCGAAGACCACGAAGTGGCCTACAGTTGGCTCCGGGCATTCTAAATCATGCCCAGGAATGGAGTTCTGGGAACTCGAAGACCACGAAGTGCGTTATTGTTGGCTAAAAAAGGAGTCCCCGGTTTCCCGGGGGGTCCCGGGGCACCCTGTCCGGATCCCGCCCAGACCCCCTTCGGGAGTCATGATGTTTTCTTTTGACCCTACTAGAAACCTATCAGTTTTCGCTTTATAAATGCCTCAAATGTATCCCCAAAGCAACCTAACTCGATGTTGTAGGACAATGATCTGGAAGCATACCCCTAAGATTCAGATGAGAACCCATTGTAGAATTCTGCTGTACTCGCAGTCGTAGTCGCATTCGCATGACAGTCGCATGCAGCATGCAACGCATCGCAGTCGGCACAGTCACAGCCTCACCTCAGCCTCACCTCAGCCGGCCTCAGCTCACCTCAGCCTGCCTCAGCCTCAGCCTGCCATCAGCCACAGCCTCAGTCTGCCTTCCAAGCTCGGCCTCGGCTCAGCCATCAGCCTGCCTCAGCCCTCACCCTGCAGGCCTCAGCCTCAGCCTCAGCCTGCCTCAGCCTCAGCCTCAGCCTGCCTCAGCCTCAGCCTGCCTCAGCCTCAGCCTCAGCCTGCTTCAGCCTCAGCCTCAGTCTGCCTTCAGCCTCGGCGTCAGCCTCAGGCTGCCACAGCCTCAGCCTGCATCAGCCTCAGCCTCAGCCTCAGCCTGCCTCAGCATCAGCCTGCCTCAGCCTCAGCCTCAGCCTGCCTCAGCCTCAGCCTCAGCCTGCCTCAGCCTCAGCCTGCCTCAGCCTCAGCCTCAGCCTGCTTCAGCCTCAGCATCAGTCTGCCAGCCTCGGCCTCAGCCTCAGCCTGCCTCAGCCTCACCCTGCATCAGCCTCGGCCTCAGCCTCAGCCTGCCTCAGCATCAGCCTGCCTCAGCCTCAGCCTCAGCCTGCCTCAGCCTCAGCCTTAGCCTGCTTCAGCCTCAGCCTCAGTCTGCCTTCAGCCTCAGCCTCAGCCTCAGCCAGCCGCAGCCTCAGCCTGCCTCAGCCTCAGCCTCAGCCTCAGCCTGCCTCAGCATCACCCTGCCTCAGCCTCAGCCTCAGCCTGCCTCAGCCTCAAGCTCAGCCTGCCTCAGCCTCAGCATCAGTCCTGCCTTCAGCCACGCCTCAGCCTCCGCCTGCCTCAGCCTCAGCCTGCATCACCTCAGTCCTCACCTCACCTGCCTCAGCATCGCCTGCATCAGCCCAGCCTCAGCCTGCCGCTGCCATCAGCCGCAGCCTCCTTCAACCTCAGCCTCGTGTCATTCGAATCATTACTACCTTCAACCTCATCCTCAGTCAGCCCCCCCCGCACCTGCCTCAGCCTCAGCCTGCTTCAGCCTCAGCCTCAGTCTGCCTGCTGCCTCGGCCTCGGCCTCAGCCTGCCTCATCTCAGCCTGCCTCAGCCTCAGCCTCAGCCTGCCTCAGCCTCAGCCTCAGCCTGCTTCAGCCTCAGCCTCAGTCTGCCTTCAGCCTCTGCCTCAGCCTCAGCCTGCCGCAGCCTCAGCCTGCATCCGCCTCAGCCTCAGCCTGCATCAGCCTCAGCCTCAGCCGCCTCGGGGGGGCCCATATAATATTATTTATAACCCCACACACACACACACAACACACACAACAGGGGATTATTTAACCCCATGCCGCACCTCAGCCTGCTTCACCTCTGCCTCAGTCCTGCCTTTATGCCTCCCTCACCACTCCGGCTACACCTCACCGGCAGCATAGCCTCAGCCTCAGCCTCAGCCTGCCTCAGCTCAGCCTGCCTCAGCCTCGACCTCAGTCTCTGCCCGCACCTCAGCCCAGCCTCAGCCTGCTTCAGCCTCAGCATCAGTCTGCCTTCAGCCTCGGCCTCAGCCTCAGCCTGCCTCAGCCTCAGCCTGCCTCAGCCTCAGCATCAGCCTGCCTCAGAAGCACCCTCCTCACCTCCCTCACGCCTCACCTCCAGCACAGCCTGCTTCAGCCTCAGCATCAGTCTGCCTTCAGCCTCGGCCTCAGCCTCAGCCTGCCTCAGCCTCAGCCTGCCTCAGCCTCAGCATCAGCCTGCCTCAGCATTCAAAATGTGGCCCGGGAACGGAGTTCTAGGAATTCGAAGAACACGAAGTGGCCTACAGTTGGCTCTGGGCATTCAAAATCATGCTCAGGAATGGAGTTCGGGGAACTCGAAGACCACGAAGTGGCCTACAGATGGCTCTGGGCATTCAAAATGTGGCCCGGGAATGGAGTTCTGGGAACTCGAAGACACGAAGTGGCCTACAGTTGGCTCCGGGCATTCAAAACCATGCTCAGGAATGGAGTTCTGGGAACTCGAAAGAGCACGAAGTGGCCTACAATTGGCTCTGGGCATTCGAAATGCGGTCTGGGAATGGAGTTCTGGGAACTCGAAGAGCACGAAGTGGCCTACAGTTGGCTCCGGGCATTCAGAATGCGGCCCGGGAATGGAGTTCTGGGACCTCGAAGACCACGAAGTGTGTAACTGTTGGCTAAAAAAAGAGTCCCCGGCATCCTCCCCCAGATCGCGCCCAGACCCCCTGGGGCGTCATGATGCTCTCTTTTGACCCTACTAGAAACCTATCAGTCTTCGCTGTTAGGTAAAAATACCCAAAAGATGCCCAAAAATATTCAAAAAAGACTCCCCAGACTATGTTTGGACTATTTTGGAATATCCCCCCTGCAGAGGGACAGGCCCGACTCAACCCTGCTGGCCCCGAGGTGACCCTGGCGTTTCCAGGGGCGGACGGTCTCCAGAGCACGTCAGGTCCGTGACGTGCCGACTTCGGCGTTGGCTCCCGACACCGCGGAGATCGTTCAGCCTCGAACGATCGGCCACTTCCGAACCGCCCAAATCGTTCCACATCGAACGAATTCTGGGTCGCCCGTGGCGTTCCACGCTGACCGCCGCCGGCGGGGTCGCCGCCAGTCGACACGACACGAGCCTACCGCACCCCCTCACGAGGTCCAGAGGGCACCAGGGGCCCCAGGCTGGCGCGAAAGGCTGGGGGCACCTTGGGCCAGGATCGCCTCTGGCAACCTCCGACGCATGCGTGGGGGCCGCTTTCCCAGGCGACGACCACTGCTGCTCCATGCCCGCGAAAGGCATCGATAAACCACCCACCTTGCCTGGCCAGGGCAGGGCCATCTTGGGCCTTGCATGGTGTATACGCCTTCCTGGCCTCCAGGTGGTGGTGTGCCACCTGCGGGCCCCGTGCTTCGCTGTTTGCTCCCGGGCCTTTCGCATGTGCCGACGGTCCATGAACGCCTGGTGCAGGACGGCCACATCGGCCTCGTCTTCCCCGTCTTCGCTCGCACCCCCTGAAAGATGCTCGCTGGCACGGATGAAGACAACCCCGACCAGCAGCCCCGCCAATATCTGCCAATCGTACGCGCCGGAGTGCTCGTGCGCCTCCAGCAGCATGCTGACGGAGGCCGAGAGCATCGTGCCACCCGCTGCCGTGTTGGCGAGCGCCAGCGTTTTCTCCTCGGGCGGCGGCCGAAGAGAGGGGGCAAAGGAGCGCATGGTAAGGACACCCCTAGTTCGGAAGATGTGGGTAGAGACATGGAGCATGAAGACGTTGAAAACAGACTGGGTCCCCGCACGCCCCTGGAAGAGTTCGACTCCTGAGATATGAAGGCGCCTGAAGTGGACTGGAGTCTGGGAATCCCAGAATACCTACTTCCAACAAACGATTGGTACCGTCGAGCCCTGAAAAGTGATCCCTGCGTCAGAAACAAAAAAAAACAAAACAAACTCCGAGCAAACCAATATTTTGCCCTATCCTACTCCTCATCCTCCTCATCCTCCTCCTCCGCCTCCCCTCCTCCTCCTCCTGTTCCTCTTATTATTAGTATGATTATTACGATTGTTCTTAGTATTATTAATCTTAGTAGTATTATGATGATTGTTCTTATTATTCTTATTCTTCTTATTAGTATTATTATGATTCGTATTATGATTATTATTTGTATGTTTCTTCTTATTGTTATTATTCTTCTTCCTCCTCCTCCTCCTCCTCCTCCTCCTCCTCCTCCTCCGCCTCCTCCTCCTCCTCCTCTTTATCCTCTTCCTCATTCTCTTCCTCTTCCTCCTGCTCCTCCTCCTCCTCCTCCTCCTCCTGCTCCTCCTCCTGCTCCTCCTCGCCTTCCCTCTTCCTCCTACCTCCTCCTCCTCCTCCTCCCTCCTCCTCCTCCTCCTCCTCCTCCTCCTCCTCCTCCTCTGCTCCCGCTGTGTGCCCCCCGTCCCCGTATCAGTGTCCTCCATAGTTGTTTCTTCCTCCTCATTTTCCTCCTCCTCCTCCTCCTAGTCCTCGTCCTCCTCCTTCTCCTCCTCCTCCTCCTCTTCATCCTCATCCTCAGCCTCATCCTCATCCTCATCATCATCATCAACATCAATCAATCATCATCCTCCATCATCAGCATAATCATCAGCAGCATCATCGTCATCATCAGCATCCTCATCATCATCATCGTCAATCATCATGATCGTATCATCATCATCATCATCATCATCATCATCATCATCATCAACATCATCCTTGGCATCATCACATAACCTATCATCATAATCATCATCATCCTCATCCCCCCCCCCCAGCATCATCATCAGCCTCATCATGGTCATCATCACCATCATCGTCATCAGAATCATCATCATCATCATCGTCATCATCATCACCATCACCATCACCATTGTCATCATCCTCCCAGTCTGCCCCACTCCCCCTCCTCATCACCACCACGATCACCATCGTCAGAATTACCAGCATCAGCCTCATCCTCAGCAACATCACCGTCACTGACGTCATCATCATCATCATCATCATCATCATCATCATCATCATCATCATCATCATCATCATCTTCATCATCATCATCATCATCAGCATCAGCATCAGCATCAGCATCAGCATCATCATTATCAGCAGCAGCAGCATCATCAGCATCAGCGGCAGCATCATCGGCATCGTCACCGTCGTCATCATCACCACCACCACCACCCTCATCCGCATCATCATCATCAGCATCAGCATCAGCAGAATCAGCATCATCATAACCATCCGAAGCATCAGCAGCATCATCATATCAGCATCATCGTCATCATCGTCATCGTCATCCGCGCCATCATCATCGTCATCATCATCAGCAGCATCATCGTAATCGTCATCACCATCACCTTCACCATCACCATCCCAGGTCTGCTCCCCCCCTCCCATTCATCACCACCAACATCACCAGCATCAGCGTGACCATCATCATGCCCATCACAATCAAAATCATCATCCCTGTCATCGTCATCGTCGTCACCACCACCACCAGCATCATCATCAGCACCATAAGCATCAGCATCAGCATCATCACCGCCATCATATCCTCATCATCGTCATTAGCATCGTCATCATCGTGGTCCTCGCCACCACCGCCATCACCATCATCAAAGTCAGCATCATAACCATCATCGTCAGCATCATATGCATCATCACCACCACCACTACCATCAGCACCATCACCATCAGCATCATCATCATTGGCATCATCATCTCTATTCTTTCAGGAGCCCGCGCGTGCACAGACGCTCAACCGCGTAAGGTTCGGTCTCGCGTGAGCCATGCCAAGCACTGCAAACCGAAACACTGTGCGCAGTGGAAAGAAACTACCTGACATCATCCCAAGTTCCTCGGTGACCAGGCCCCACGGCAACGGCCCGCGGAGAGCTCCAGTCCTCCAGGTTTCGGTACCGTGGCAGTGTACATATCGTACGTCCGACAGATGTCCATGCGTCACCTGATCACTTCGTCTTTCGCCATCGCGGACCTCAGCGGTTGGGCCTGGTCTTGAAAGTCCCTCGGTACCAAGCTTGCCCGAAATTGTTTTATGGTGTGACTCGTGAATCAAAGCAGATGGTATTGCGAGCCTTGCGGCAGCTTTAGCAGTGTCTGCTGACGCGTTGCTCTCACACCACTCAACTGAGGCGGTGTGCGTACACAAGCAAACTCAATTACCACATGTCTGATCTTGGCCGCGTCTGGACTATGTCGACTTCAGCGTGCTCGCAGTGTTCCTCGCCGCCAACGGTGGTTTCGGCAACAATGGTGCGCGCTCCCGTCCGAGTACCAGCGTCCTGCAGCTTGGAGGACGATAGCCCGAGGAGTGCGCACACTTGTCGAGGTATCTTCATGTACGCATGAGGTGTTTGATGTGAAAGACGCCGTGCCGTTGTCAAAGGATGGGCTGAAGAGTCTGGAGCCCAACGATTCAGGATTCTGCTCCAGGTGCGGGTGCCCCATGAAGTCCATGACGGTCGTCAGTGCTGCCGTTGACCAGGCCTTCGAGGCATGCCAGGCATCGCGGGTTTGGCCTGCATGGGCACGGTTCTTCAGGAGGTACTCGGACTTGGCCCAGCGGACATGTAAATCCAGCGCGGTTGAAGTTTCGGTATCGCCTGCCTTCGGAAGGTGCGCGGTCACGCAGGTGGTTCTGCTTGTCTATGAGGCCCATCGCTCTAACTTTACGGGCTGCCATGGTCTTAAACCTAGTCACGTTCAGTTCCCGGGCCACTGAGCTTGTTGGATTGGCGACGAGGAGGTACTATTATTTGAAGGTGCAGTCGCGGTCCAAGGTTTTCCCGCTGATCTCTCCGAAAGGCAATGTATTCGGGCAATAGTCTCGCTTCGATACGTTGATGACATCATTGGTTTTTGGAATCCGTATTGCGTTGGTTGTGTCAAGTTCCCGTTCGCCTTGGCTTACTCTGAGCCCCTGTCGCTTGTGTTCGCAGTTGCGGTGGTTCCGACGAGCCCCGTATATGCGACTGGCGTGACCGAGAAATGCATGTAGTCGACCAGAAGGCTGGTCGCATGATCAAGAACCCAAATCGTGCTTGGATGTTCGGCCGTGGACCCAAGCAGAAGAGTAACCTGCTCCCATGGCTTGATCAGTCGCCCACGCCTATTGCGAGACTTCGAGGTCAGTTGTTGGGGACACAGTCTAAGTGTGTCTCATTGGAGTTGGCTCGTAGACTGCAGTTTGTCGTGGTTATGGAACTCCTGTTGGAATTGTTGAGGCTGCAATTTCCCGTCTCATAGATTGGCCCGTTGGTCCATGCTATGCCCCCTTATCATGCTTTTGTTCAGGCTCGAAGGTCCGTGAGGTCATTGTATCACAGCCAGAAGCAGCTAGAGCTGGGCAAATCTCATGGCGGGCGTGGTCAGCGGCAATCTCGTGGGCACGGTGCTTGGCCGCCGACCTGGCAGTCCAAGCAGAACGACCACGATCGAGATCGTGATCGAGACAGTACCTGGAAGAACAGGAGGAAGAAGCATCGATCGAGCAGATCGAGCAGTTCAGATTCGGAGGACCAGGTCAAGGTTGCGGAGCGGTTTCCCTTGAAGCACAGCAAGAGCTACAAGAAGTTTGTGGAGTCCGAGGAGGAGGCTGTCCGCACCAAGGAGTATGAGCGATAGGGCAAAATCATCGAAAACGCGACCGCCCCGCAGCTGTCCTCAACCGTTGCCGCCAACGCGGTCCAGGCTGGCGCCTCAGCGGCGGCGGGGAGTGCTGCTATCGTGCAAGCAGCGGCGGCCCGGCCGGCCTTGCCGCATCCTTTCCCGCCGTCGCCGCAGTCAGTTGCCACGCCGCTCACTACACTCACGGCGGCCATCGCGCCTACATCGTGGCGGAGTGTGGCCGCATGTTCAAGCTGGAAAAAGGCACGATGGAGGAGCTCAAGGAGAAGGTCCACGAGAAATGGTCGAACGTCAAGGTTCCCAAAGGCGTGGTGGCCCCCCAGAGGCCCGAGGAGAAGCGAATCGACACGCTCTTCGAAATCGTCAAGGACATGGCCTGAATCGCTTCCGCCCCAATCGAGTACGTTATCCGCACTGTCAGTTTCATCGTGAAAGCGATCTAAATTGTTATTGCTCTTGGCATTGCGTTCTGTATTGCGTATCGCTACGGGCATTGGGCTGCAAAGTTGGAGCTGTACACCACGGCACGCGACTCTGCTTTAGAAAAGATTAGTTCCGTGCTGATCCCTTACTTCGCTTGAGGGGCAGTGCCCGTAGGAGCCGTGGGCATGACAGCAGTCAATAACTTTGGAGCATCGTGGATCGAAGCATCGGGAGGACGCACGTTGCAGGCCATCGGATTTGGATCATGAGGCAGTCAATGCATCCGCGCGCGCAGGCAGAGCTGGGGCCTGGTTGGCGGGCATGTCGCATAGACGCTGCTGTGAGCTGCGCTGACACTCGGGCGCGTGTGAACGGAGGGTCATCTCTCCTGATGAATACTGCCTTCGGTCTTGTGCAGCTTCCTGGAGGGCCAACATATGTATGGTTTCCGTTGGGCTCAGAAAACCTGCGCGGGCACAGATGCTCAACCGCGTAGGGTAAGATCTCGCGTGAGCCATGCCAGTCACTGCAAAGCGAAACACTGTGCGCAGTGGAAGAAGCGGCCAGAAATCATCATCATCATCATCATCATCATCATCATCATCATCATCATCATCATCATCATCATCATCATCATCATCTTAAGCAGCACCATCATCATCACATTCATCATCATCAGCAGCATCAGCATCATATTCATCATAATCATCATCAGCATCATCATCAGCAGCATCCTCCTCGTCTTCATCATCATGAAGCTCGTGATCATCATCAGCAGCAGCAGCAGCAGCACCACCATCATCATCATCATCATCATCATCATCATCATCATCATCAATACTGGTTGTCGTGGTCGACGTATTGATCATCATCAGCACCAGCAATCACCACCACCATCATCACCACCACCACCACCATCTTCATCATCATCATCACTACCACCACCAGCATCATCAGCATCATCATCATCCTCATCCTGATCATCATCATCGTCATCGTCATCATCATCAGCATCATCATCATCATCAGCATCATCATCAGCATCATCATCGCCGTCATCATCATCACCACCACCACCAGCATCATCATCAGCATCATCATCATCCTCATCATCATCCCCCTGCCCGCCCCCCTGGACAGGTGGCCTTGTTTCGTGGAGGCGACTCGAGGATTCGTGGCGGGGCTCCGCCCAGGCAAGGAGGAAGATGATCCGCCGCCGACCCCTTGTGGGGTCCAGCAGACATTGGACGGGGGCCTCCGTCGGCCCCACACGACCCCCTGGACGAACTCGCGAGGGCCGGGTCTGGCGGCCTACACCTGGCATGGTTTGGGGTTCCGGCGCAGCCCCTGAGGTTTCCCAGACGGCCCAACCCGACCCAAACAATCCACACGCGGCCCTCACATGATTCCACGATGGTTCCAGAGCTGCGAACCCAGACGGGACCTAGTGTGAACTGCGTAACTGTCGCCACTGTCGTGGGATCCTGGGAGACACGGCGGATGTGAGGGCAGCGCAGGTCACTTCGACACCTCGCGGCTCCCACCGTGGGCTGCGAACTGCACAACAATCGCCTCTTTCGTGGGATCGTCGGAGGCACGGCGGAGGTGAGGGGCGAAGAGTTCTTCTGTATGGAGCGTTCATACAAATAGTCGCCTCGCGTGGAAAGGGGGTTGGGTACGTCTCGGGTCTCGGGTGTTCTTCTGCTCCACTCCACCGATGCAGCATGCGCAATCGTGGGGATCGCCGCCGCGCAACCCGACTGGGCAAGAACGGGAAGCGCAGCCTTCGCCCACTCGGCTCGCAACACGAAAAGAAAGCAGGGGAGAGGGGACGCTGCCCAGCAGCGAATGCCGTCCAAACCCGAGGCCGCTGCTGGACGTCTGAAAGCAGCTGGCGCGAGCGAGCCGAAGCAGGCGCGGGCGCCAGTCGGGCAACGGGAGGGACGCGCCTGGAGCAGATAGGGGCACGGCGGAACGCGGGAAGAGGCCGTTGCTGGACAGGCGTTGTCTCAAGTGGGCCCCGCCAGCGGCGACACCGACGGCGAGCCCTCTTCATCAATGGCAGGAGCTGCGGAGGGTCTCCGCGCCCAGGCTCGTCGTACCCGTTGCGACCTCACCGAAAGACGAGGACCCCACGACGTCTTCGACGCGTCCAGGAGGTCAGAATCAATCAACATCGAACCGCCTCCCCCTCCCCCTTCTCCTCGCCCCTCCTCCTCCTCCCCCTCCTCCTCCTCCTCCTCCTCCCTCCTCCTCCTCCTCCTCCTCCTCCACCTCCTCACTCCTCCTCCTTCCCCTCCTCCTCCTCCTCCTCCTCCTCCTCCTCCTCCTCCTCCTCCTCCTCCTCCTCCTCCTCCTCCTCCTCCTCCTCCTCCTCCTCCGCCCCAGGTCCTCTAAGTCGCTCGGGCGGGCCCACAGGAACGGGACGGCGCCCAGGCCCGTGGTGACGCACGTCAACAGGCCGTAGCACCAGACCCGGAAGGAGTCGTAGCCCACCTTGACCGCGAACTGCCTTCGGAGGCCGGCGGTTGTGTACGGCCACCTAGCCCTGAGACCCCAGGGGCGGAAGCGACAGAACAAAAAATTACCCCGCAACGTACCCAACCCTTTCTATACATGTGGTGATTACACTCAGGACCACTCAATGCTGACAGCCATGCTGAAAAACCCGCAGTGCGGAAGAAGAGCACCCAGCAGTAAAATCAGGAGAGCGCAGGAAGAAGAGCAGCGGCAACGCGTAAGACGTACCTCTGCTGGGCCTCCCAGGAGCCCACGAAAGCGGCGACAGTTTCGCAGATCGCAGCCCCCAGGGCACCGCGAGGTCTCGAGGTGATCCGCGTTGGACGTACCTCCGCTGGGCCTCCCAGGAGCCCACGAAAGTGGCGACAGTTTCGCAGATCGCAGCCCCCAGGGCACCGCGAGGTCTCGAGGTGATCCGCGTTGGACGTACCTCCGCTGGGCCTCCCAGGAGCCCACGAAAGTGGCGACAGTTTCGCAAATCGCAGCCCCCAGGGCACCGCGAGGTCTCGAGGTGATCAGCGTTGGACGTACATCCGCTGGGCCTCCCAGGAGCCCACGAAAGTGGCGACAGTTTC